TTTTTTTTTTTTTTTAGTCTTATCCCCCCCCCATCAAAAAAGCCCCCCCCCCCCCCCCCCCGATTTCTTTTACATCGCATGGATGCAGTATTTACCAAACAGGCAGTAAAAGTCACAGTGTGATTCTGTTCAATTGATCTGTGCATGTAGAACCAAAACAATTGAACAGACCAGTGTGTGCTCGGAAAATATAAAAATTGGAGTACTTGAGCAAAAACAAGCAGTTTTGTCATAATATATAATTTCCGCCTCTTCTGGATTTCCTCAAATTTTCTCAGTAAGAAGGGGATTTTATTTTGTTCCCACAGCAAAACTGTTGTGAACAATTTCATCCCAATCTTCTATGTTTATAGTTTATATTAGGCCCATTTTCTTAGGATGGCTTTTCTGCCTGCAGTGCATAATATTTTAAACTGGCATTTTCTATTATTACTCTGGTTTGCCGAATAAGAAAAGTGAAAAAAGTTTTTTATTTTATGTAATAGGTAAAACCAATAACACTGCCTGTCTCTGATGTGTAAATAAATGAAAAACATAAATAATCTGATAACCTTAACAATAATAAAAACATAGTGTGTGAGTTAATTAATTAAATAATCAATAATATTCACAAAACAAACACCAAATGTATTGTTTTCCAGGATCCTGATGGAAATTTAGTGTAGACTTGATCATCTGTCAAACTGGGTTGTTTGATGAATCATTTTCTACGCTCTAATTTTAGATTTAAGTTTCATCAATGTATGTATGTTCAAATATTTTGTGGGATTTCAGAAAAACTTAAATTTTAAAGTTTAACAATATATGAAGTATACATTTAATAGAACTGTGTTTAGGTGTTTTTTTAGGTGTGGAAAATGTACCTACTATTCTAGATCCCATTATCTTTATGTTTTCTCTATCTTTTCTTTCCTTGTGTTGTTTTCTCTGTCCCTCCTCTCTGCCTTGTGTCCTTCCACCCTTATGCTCCTTCTGATCTTCCAATTGTTTTTCTCCCTTCTTTTTCTGCTTGTCCTTTTTTCCTCCATTCATTATCTTCTTCCTTGTTTTCTTTATTATGCTCTTATCTTTCCCTCCTTCTATCGTATTTATTATTGTTCCACCAATGCATTCTCTGTCTTTCCATCATTGTGTCCTAAATCTCCTCTTTTTGTCCTTTCTGACCTCATCCTCTTCCCTCCTTTGTGTTGTCATATCCGTCTTCCTCTTCTGCTTCTATGCCTGTATGTAACCTTTATTTAACTAGGTGATTCTCATTGAGATAAAAAAAAAATCTGTTTTTCCAAGAGAGACCTGGTCAAGGCTGGCAGCAGCACATCGACAATTACAAATCAAAACTACAAATATCAAAACCCAATTAAAGTACTATACGGATAACGAAGAAAGGAAAATAACACGGAGCAAACACAGCCATAAAAGTAAAAATGGGACTAAAAAAAAACAGTTCTGCACCTGAGCTGGTGAGGACAAGAACAAAGTTTGTTATAATCAAAACATTTCCTACTTCCTCCAAACTTGCATAATAAGTCCTGATGGTTCCATCCCTCTGCACCTTTTGTAGATTATAGTTATCAAACACCACACAAGAGTAAAAAAAAAAGTTTTGCCCAGCTGAAGTGTCAAGAACGAGCTGCAAGAACAGAATGATCTATTCCTGCTCTTGGAGCCCTGGGAGAGAACAAGTATTGGCCTTTACTCTCCTTCAGTCCACTGTTGTCCTTCCTGGTTGCTTTACTTTTTCTCTTTCTTGCACCCTTATTTCTTTCTGTCCTTGTTTTTTGTCTTTCTTTTCTTTCTGTCCTTGTTTTTCTTTATTTCTGCTTGTCTTTCTTTCTTTTGTACTTTTACTTCTACATGCCACTCCATCTTCCCCTTTTTATCTTTTATTTTTTGTCTCCCTTTTCTTCAAGTCTGGAATTACAAGATGAAAAGTCTCTCAGGGATAGTCTGGGTCTATGCTGGGATCTCCTCCCTTTTCTTGATCGCATACAGCAAAAAAAAAAATGATGATGGGCATAAAATATAAAGAGTTAAGTTTTCCTAAAACCACGATTAAAACAGAAACAACGTGCAGTAAAGCCTCTATAAGTCCGGCCCATAACAGCAGCATCAAGCTTGTGAAGTCAAGATCTTATGGGAACCATTTCGGTTCCTTTCATTCCTTCGTGTAACTTGGTTTGTAAAAATCTTAAAAATCTTAGAATTAAAGACAGCTAATAACTTAATCACGGTTCTCTGTGTTTAATAATCCAGCAGTAGACGTGTTCTAAGCACACGGTTTAGAAGATTAATAAGAGCCCGAGTTGCTGCAGGTCACACCTCAGTGGGAGCTTCCCCAAATTTCACTTAATCATGCAAGCAGATTAAGTTAAGGATGTAGTAATAAGGCTATGTTAATCTTTTTATCTTAGCTTTTAATGGATTTTGACATTATGAATGGATTTTGACTATTTGTGCTCAGTTGTCCACACCGAGGGACCTGAACATGATTTAAAAGCTAACATTCAGATTTTTTTTTAAAGAACAACAATTTGATTAAAGTCACATGCATCAAGGAAATGCTCTTCACAAAAGGATAAGTTTCTATAAGACTGTCGGAGGCATCTCGCACACTGTTAACAGATCAGATTATTAGATGCTGAGTTTGTGTTTTTGGTGAGACTCATTAATGAAATTCACTTGATGATTACTGTTGTTTTATCGGAGGCAGGAGCATGCTTTTCTGCCTCTGCATTTCCTGGGGGGTGATCCTCTTCCTATAATTAACCCCATTAATTGAGTGTCAGGCCGCAATTAACAAATGAACACCTTATGAAGTAGTTCAGCTTTGTGAGCAGAGAATAATCAGTGCGAGTTTCAGAGCTCCAAATGCTTCCTGTGTGCCGAGGAAAGTCAAAGTGTTAACGCAGAATGCAGTTTGCTTCAAAGAAGTGGAGAGGAGTTTTAAAAAATTGTTTTGCTTCATTCGAAACAATGTGGAAATGTGATTAATCTACTTTATTTGTCTTTTGTGTTTCCACAGTGCAGCAGGAGGAAGTTATTTGCTTATTATTTTAGATTTCAGAGTTTTGTGAGACAGATTAAAGAAAACATGTTGAAGTGTTTCATATTAAACATAAATGATCCTCTGATCCTGTGATGTTCCAGGTCCCTCGTCACAGTGAAGTCACTGGGATGGGAACACCGAACTGCAGCATGCATCAAAACACCGCCAGTTTCTCAGCTGATCACACAGGTAGGCCTCAAAACTTCTCTATGCAAACTATTTATTACTGATAGAAAAACCAACAGAATATTTTCAGATTGTGTACTTTCTGATTTTAGACATTCAAGTTATGCTATATTCCCCCCCCTCTCGTTATAACTATGAAGATATTTATGATAGGTTTTAATCTTCTTATATTGATACTCTGATTTATGTTATAGGAATATAGGAGGCTTTGAAGCAACATGTAGCTCAAAATATCTTGGGTTAAAAACTAACTTGTGATTTCTCATCAGGCAAACAGGGTTGTGGTTTCCCAGCAGGTCCATCAGGCTGCTGTTTTCCTCAGACTCAGCACTTTAGATCACAGCATATTCTGTTGAAAATTAAATGAAAATACTGTCTCATTTTATTGTTTACTGCTAGTTATGCAATACATGGATGTGATTGGATCCTTTTATAACGTCATGTTGCACTTATACGTTTTTCTTTGTCTTTCTGTAGATGATTTTCTCTATGGAAGCTACAGACAGAGAGCAGAGCAGGTAAGTCTGATTATCATCTTTGAAATTGGGAGGCCATGCCAAAGTTTAAAGAATGAATGAGTAAATGTGTCCCATCATGGTTGAAACACTATTCTTTTTTTTTTGTATTAGTTAAATATCTAAAGGATTTTTGTAGGAATATCAGATTAAATTGGCCTGGATACATATTTTTAAAACATTTTTAAAAAGCAGGTTCTCCCACTTCCTGACTAGGGCTGTGTAATTTTATCAATTCTACGATAATTATCGATATTTTTTCCTCAGAAAGTATCGATTTTTCATCCGCGAGTATCGATACATTAAATCCTACTTTGAGTTTTATGTCAAATCCACATGAATTAAATGACAGTTGTCACAGATGACATTTTTTTACCCAGTTGCACATGTACATTAAAAATTTAATGAAGCAACAAGTTACAATTAATTAAATAATGAAGTAGGTAAATGATCTCATCTAAGTGAGTGAGACAAAAAAAAAGGTTCCTTTTGTGCATAAGCAAATACAAAAGGCCACACAATTAACATTTAAACAAAACAAATGTACAACAAATGTATAACAAACACAACATTTATTACACCAGTATTACACCATCAGTTCAATTAATTCAATCCAAGTCTACGGAACAGTGACACAATGTCACCAAAATCACTCTGTCCCCCTAAAATCTTCCAGAAAATCTTAAAAATGTGTTGAATCACATCGTTTGCTGAATATTGTAACTTATACTGCAAGCAGAATATCGCGCATCGTATGAGATTAGTGTATCGCTACAGCCCTATTCCTGACACCTCAGTTATAAACAGAATTTATGCTCTACTGCATAATATGTTAATATCTTAATAAAATACATTGTCGTTTTAACCTGACAAAATATGCAGTTCAAGATGTGTGAATAGATTTTAGAGGCCCAGTCACAAACATTATATACACTATTATCAATTATGACAACCTGGGAATACAGATATGTTCTTTGTATTAAAGTGCACTTTAGGACTAAAACTAAAATATGTTTTGCATAAATTCCTCAATTGCTTACATTAGTTTGTTCAAAAGTTTCAAGGTGAACACGGCTGACAACTTGAGTAACGTTTATATATATATATATATATATATATATATATATATATATATATATATATATATATATATATATATATATATATATATATATATATATTTTTTTTTTTTTTTTTTTTTTTTTTTATAT